TTAGACCTGGAGGTAAGAAAAAATAATGCAGATTAGTAGAATTCTACTACTAACAGTAGCATACTGATGCGAATGCCACAATCTGATTGGCTGAGCTATCATGCGTTATCAGCCATTGGTGTACCATGGCTGAGGGTCCTCTATGAAATGGAGATGATTTGTATGTTGTTTTCCAAAACAAAAGTTTTTTTTTTTTGGCAAGCTCATTATTTTGGAAAGAATAACTTGGGTGATTGACCATTTTCTTATTCTCGGTATTGGACTGGGACTAGCTTGCAATGGAGGCTCATGTGAGGAATATCATTAAAAAGAGACGAATGTCATTTACACTTGAAAAGACTCCCTGCATTAGCCTCAGTTGCAAGCTAGTTCCAGTCCAATAACGAGAATACGAAAATGGTCTATTCAGTTCCAGAAGACAAGAAGGACATTTACAGTTTCTTGACTTATCATATGACTGAGAAAATAACTTCATTCTGTTTGGCTAAGACCGGAATAATTTATTGTTAATTTTAATTTTCACTGCAGTGAAAAATTAATGCAGGTGCATTTGTTATTTTATCAGTAATATAATAAATGAATAACCTCATGAAAGCTCGAGCAATTAAAGATTTATACTAATCGTGATATTGGAAAATTCTTTCAAATTGCACTCACCTAAAGGCTCATGCAATTTTCAAATAACACTCGTAGTGTAAATCCTTAAATGTACTTGCATCAATGCGATTACCTATATTATTATACATTGTAGTCGCCATATGTCTTCTCATTGGCTAAAAGACTACAGTTAATTCTGGAAAACAGCGTAACCTACCGATTTTTCACTAATCTGCTAGCAGATTAGTGAACAATTTGTAAGTTGCACGCACAATGCATGATTTTCAAGAGCAATGTCAAGTTCATGGACAACGAAGTAAGAACATGGCTTCTTGAAAATAAATTGTGTTCAGTGCGATAATGCGTTTGTCGTTATTTTATTCAAAACAATGTATAATAAAACAATTTAATATTAGATTCGGTTTTTGTGACATCCGAAATAATCAAGGTCTTGGTTAGTGTTATCAGCCTCAGCCTTCGGCTTCAGCTGATAACACTTACCTTGACCTTGATTATTCTGGATACCATAAAAACCTTGTCCAATAACTGTTTACTACATGTAATTGTTGAGAAAACTGATGAGCAAGTAGTTTTGAGAAGTATTCTTGAAGGAATCCTGATCATGTGCAATTTTTTTTATTATTGAACAGATCAGTGGTGAAGGAGCTGACACAATAAGGTAAATTATAACTACCAGCAATCAACAAACAAAAAAAACATACATGGCTATACACATGTACATGTTGGGACACATTGCTTTGTACATGCATTAATTATTAATATTGATGTGACTTCAAAACATTGAGTACTGTACCTTGATACAGAGGCCTCTACTGATAACATTTATTAATAACTTAATCAAACTGAGCTTATAAATACACAAAGACCATGCTGCTCATATGAATATCACACGAGAATCAGTGGTACTAGTATGGATAACCAACATACAAATACCGTGGATGTTCCACAGGGTACGCAGAGAGAAAAATACGGCCATTTTATCAAGCCTGCAGTTCCTAACAATGTTTGAATCAATAACATTTGGATATAAGCGCCTATAACCCCCAAATTATTTTTTACTCCAAAACAATATCGACACATTCTTGATCACAATACCAAAAAAATGTTTGCTTTTGGTTGTAACTGCAATTTTTTATCAATTTTCAGTCATGAAAAATTGCTATAATGAAATTGTTACCGAGTCGAAGAATGAGTCAAAAGGATCTTGGTCTAGCACATTTTGTGACATCATACACAGAGATCATTCGCAACACATTCACACACATATACTTGTTCGTCTCAAGTTGTTGTAACATTATTCTGAGCAAGAAAATGTACATAAAACTGTGAGAGCCGATCCAGTTCTTGGCAGTGTACATTGAGCACCTCAGCAAACAAGATTTGGGAAGATTGAATCCCAGGTTTGATCAATCAGGGAGTCTGCAGCAAAGAATGCGTAAAGATGAAATTATAATTACAAGGGCTTTGGTTCATTCAGGTTACAGAATTTTGGTAGAATTCAGGGTAATTTATCGTGTCAATTGAAACAATTATCTTTGTTTGAATGCATTAAGTGATTCTGGTGGCCGCCACTGATTTGAGTCAGAGTTTCAAATCTTCTCAGTCTGTTTACATGTACTACATGAACGATCAACTTGATTCATGGCAGTTCACATTTGTGCATAGTTTACTGAATTATCTGAACAAACAACCACCACAAAATTAAAGATGTGAGACTTTCATTGGCAAATTGCAATGCAAATAGTTATTCCAAGTCAGGGTATTCTGACTTGGAATAGGGTAATTCTTTCTACAAATCTTCAAAGCAATTCCGGTTTATTTAGATCAGCTTTGCATTCCCTGTGGAATGAGAACGCTACATCAACTGGGTTTACAAGCTCATGGACAGAGTCTTCCAGAGTTTAGAATCTGAAGAACTTTGGATGACAAACGTGCAATACATCTAAACAACTTACAGTATATGTTTAAGATTGCCAAGAAAAGGTTATTTCATTGACATACTAGGGAAGTTCATCACTACTTTTCAATGGTAGTCTACTCTGGAGACTACCATTTATGTTCACTTCACCTTACAGGATTTTAGATGAGATCATGATTGAACATGATTACATGCCTTCCCAGCAAGATGCCCAGCAATGGCATCAACTTTTAACACAAGAGTTGGTAGGTACAAGATCAAAAGTATTGGAAAAGGTTACCTATTTTTCCTCTCCACTCCCCTACAATTCAATGTTGAGGTTAAACAAAAAACTCAAGTCACACCATACTATCCAATCATTGTCAATCATTGAGTGAGGCTGTCCTGGTCATTTGACACCAAAGCTGACATCATCATCAAGTTGTAACCAGTGATTGACCAGTTGTCCATGAGTGGTCATTTTCAATCTATTGATTGTTAGACAGTCAAAATAGTGTCAGTTCTTAATTTGTAAGTAAAAAAATTGTGTTTCTTTCTTTTTTGTTGAGGTCATAAATACAAGTGATCAAAGGTGTTAGCTGCAGTTGTAGTTGTGGAAGTTGACTAAGTAGTGTTTGTTCTTAATTAGAATACCTGTTAGGGGTGTCACAGTCAAAATTTTCTGCCATAAGATTAAATTTATTGTTTCAGTTGGTATTTTTATCAAATGTTTTTTGTTTATAACTTTGCTTAGAATCCATCCTTTTTCATATAAATGTTTTTAAATGAAAGATTGCAATAAGATCT